TTTAAACACACTTTTATTATTATTATAAATATTTTTTTTTTAAATAACAATGCACTTCTTCCAAAATTACAATGCACTTCTTCTTAAAATTACAATGCACTTCTTTTAAAATTACAATGTACTTCTTCTTCCCCCCCAATGTTTGAGAAAACAAACTCTATAACAAATATAAATAAGAATTTAGCATAATTGGAAATTGGATTTTTTGAATGAAAAGGTTTTAATCTTGTAGAATGAACAATATCTGTTAATTTTCCTGTATATTGATTTGGTTTATCTATTTCATAAGTAACATTTGAGAGTTTTCTGACAACTTTAAAAAGGACCATTATAAGGAGATTGAAGTTTACTTGAATTAGGGTATGAGAAATTTTGATATAAGACTAAATCTCCAACTTTAAATTTTGCATCAACATAATGTTTATCATACCTTTGTTTATTTTATCTTATGATGCTTAATTGTTCTGTTTACTGCAATTTGTCTAGCTTGTTGTATAGGTGGATAGTTTAATTTTACTTGATTAGGTAATGGCGAATCATATGGCAAAGTTCCAAACATTAAATATGCAGGTGGAAAGCCAGTAACATCATGTGGCGAGTTATTGTATTCATATGTAACTTGTTCTAATAATTTTGTCCAAGGAGTTTTTGTAGTTGAATTGACTTTACATCTTAATTTTGCTACTAATGTCTGATTAACTCTTTCATTCTTTCCATTGCATTGTGGTCTATTTGCTGAAGTTAGTAATTGTCTAATATTATGATGTTTTAAGAATTTCTTAAATTTAGATGAAGTGAATGCAGCATTTCTATCACTTAAAAGTTGTTTTGGGCATTGAATTGAAAAAAATTTGTTTTAAGCAATTTGTATAAGTTTCAGAAGTGACACTTTTTTGATGGAAATGTCCAAGCATATCTGGTAGCATGATCCAGAACAATATGCAGGTATTTCTTTTTTGTGAATTATGATAATTAAATCCTCCTACAGTGTCTAGTGAAATCATTTCAAATGGTTCTTCTGCTACAGGAACTTCTTGCAATAATCCATACTTTTTTTGTGTAGACTTTTTATTCAGTTGACATGTTTCACAACATTTAACAAAATTTGAAATGTCTAATATAATGTCTTTCCAGTAGTAAATTGGGGAAATGAATTTTAACATCTTTTTTACACCTGGGTGACCAAATTGTTCATGTGCAGTTGTAATTAATTTTTTTCTCTCAAAGATAACGGTACTACAATTTTAATTAAATTCTTTTTTTCTTAACTGTTAATACATCATTAATTTTTATATATTTTGGATCATTAATGTTCTCTGAATTTTGGTATTTAATAATTTCATCAGTATTTAAAAAATGACAAATGGGTGATATATAATGGCATACAGGGTTCCTCGACAACATGTCTGCTTCAACATTTAATTTACCTTTTATATAAACTATCGAATATTCATACTGAGAAAGTTTAAACTCCACCGAAATAAACGTCCAGTTAAATGTTTTACACTTTTAAGCCATTGTAAAGCAGCATGATCAGTATGTATTGTGAATTTGGATCCATGTAGGTAACAGTGGAATTTATCTAAGGCATCTATAATTGCTAAACACTCTTTTTCTGAAATTGTATAATTTTTTTCATGTTTAAGTAATTGTCTCGAGTGATAAGCTATGGGGTAAAGTGTTCCATCTGGGTGTTGTTGTTTCAAGACTACGCCTATTGATTCCTGACTTGCGTCACAAAACACATGACATGGATATTGTGAGTTGTATAATTTAAGTATAGGTTTTGATATTAAACAATTCTTTAACTTCTGATAAGCTTCTTGACATTCATGTGACCAATTCCAAATTGCGTCTTTTAAGTAATTTATTTAATGGTACTCTAAGTTTTGCATAATCTTTAATAAATTTTTGATAAACATTGATGGAACCAAGAAATCTTTGGAGTTCTTTCACATCTTTAGGTGGTGCTAATTTTCTTATTGTTTCAATATTTGGATTACTTGGGGAATAATGACCTTGTGTTATTTCATATCCTAAAAATTTTATTTTTTCCTGTGCAAACTGACATTTTGATTTTTTAAGTTTAATGTTTTCTTTTTTACAAATTTGAAATATTGTATCTAAATGAGTTAAATGCTCTTCCCAAGATTGTGAGAAAATTATTATATCATCAAAATAGTTTAAAGCAAAAGTTAACTGATATTTTTGTAAAATTTGTCTTATAGTTCTTTGGAAAACAGCTGGGGAATTTTTCCAGCCAAATGGAAGTCAACCATTCATAGAGTCCAAAATTAGTTGTGAAAGCCAGTTTCTCTATTTCTTTTTCATGAATTTTAATGTGCCAATAACCACTTGTTAAGTCGAGCGTAGAGAAAAATTTAGCATGAGTTAAATTATCAATTACAAAGTCTATCAGAGGTACGGGGTGGAATCTTTTCGTGTGATTTCATTTAGTTTTCTATAATCGATACATAATCTTGATCTTTTCCCTTCATCCTTTTTTGTATGCTTAAGTTACAGGGGCAGCATATGGGCTATGAGAGGGTCTAATAAAACCTGCTTTTAACAATTCTTCTATCTGTGTTTGTATTTCTTTAGATTCTTGTTGACTGTTTCTATAAGGGCGTAAACTTATAGGAAGGTCTGAAATTAAATGAATTCTTTGTGGCTCTAAATTGATACAACCTACATCATACTTATTTTGTGAAAATATGGTTTGAAATTTGTCAAGAAGTTGGGTTAAATCTCCCCATTGCTCACTAGTTTGTTTTGGTACTGTGTCCTCAACAACCATGGCTGGGTTAAACAATCTTTTCAGATCAGCTTCAGGGCTGTCTGATATTTGATCTAAACCTTTATTATTCTTAACGTTAATATCTTCATTATTTGCATTATAGTAGTTCATATTTTGATCATTATTAGAGTTTTACAATATGTCCCATGATATGTTCTCAACTCACCAACACACTTATTTACATATTTAATATTACTTAAATTTTTACCACATTGAAAAATACACATGTTACGAATACTAATGTCAAGCTTAAATAAATGTAAATATTCAAGTCCTAAAATAATATAAGGCAATTTAGTATCAATTACAAACAAATCTATTTGCTTAGATATACATCCAATATTCATATAAACTTTAATTATACCTTTGGGTTGAATAGTCCCACAAGTTTGATTTATTTTTACATTACTATTTTTTTTTATAATTTTAATGTTTTTTAATTGTTTAGATAAATTTATTGGAATTAATGACACATTGCTTCCTGTGTCAATTAGAGTACAAAAGTGCTTGGAACATACCATTGACTCAATAATTAGTTGTCATCCTTGCCTCTGGTTAGTTTCGTTTCTGGGCGAGTAAAGATTATGTCGATTCTGTTGTCTCCCACTGAATCTCATCATGTGCGATTGATGTGGCTGTCCATGATTTCCTCTCTTGACTGGAATCTGTTCTGTGGATCAGTTCCTCTGTGTACACTACCGTATGCGTGATTCCATCGGGTATAACTTCCAGTATCTACCGGTTTTCGGTCTGCGCTGTCCGGTGTTACTGCGATTAATTGTCGCATCGTTGAGATCCATTCGCAGGGTGTCGTGAAATCTTTCTTGATAACCAGGAACTTCTGAAACTGTATGGGACTTGATAATGTCATATGTTCCACAATTGAACTGTCATCATAATTTAGTTTCTTCCCCAACGAAAGTTTTTCCGTAAAAACGAAATTAATTCTTTAGTGTCGTTTAATTTTAATTTGTGAAATTTTCGAATATCCTCTTGTTTCGTCGCATCGAACACCGTCATTAATAATTCTTTACTTGTTTGGTACGACTTTTCAAATAAATGGTTTTCGTACCAAAATTTAAGATAAACTCCGTGAGATATCTAGGAATATTTTTGCTTCTTCCATTGTTCGTCTTTTGATATTCCAAACATTGTTGATCAAAACAGTCCAAAAAAACTTTTACAACTACTAAACTTATTAAGATCAAATTCAGGAAAAAAGAAGGATTGATTCTCTTTGGATGTGTTGACTGGTGACTCCTGCCGGAAAGAGTCGTCCTCCATGGTAGTATCGTTTTCAATGCAGTCGCTCGTTCGAAAAAAAAAATTGTTGAAGTTAATTCGTTTGGTTTCCTCGCATATTTTCGGTTCGTTAATTCATCCTGTCGACTCTTGACAGGCCCCAGGCCTGCTGGTAAAATGAAGAGGGCATCATCTTCACAATATTCCTTTATTACGCTTTCATCATATATAATCTAACATGGCGGACCTTTTGCCGCGCAACCGGATGTTACCAAATACAACATCGCAGCGAGGAGACACCAGCCAAGTCCTTTCTTAGTATGCGTTCGCCTTCGTCAGCGCTCGTTGCTCCTTTTAACAGGCTTGTTTACTCATAAATCCTTACGCGATGGTAAAGTGTTCGCTCTATTTTCATTTATTACTTCCTTAATTTTGAACCTAAACTTTTCAAACCTGACATATATATATTTCTGTTTCACCTTTTTCCATGTGAAAGAGTTTTATGATATATGGATAAGCATATTGAGCACTTTGAAGAATTATTGGCCAAGATTTATTTTTATCAGTATTCTGAAACATATAATGCATAATGAAAAACGCTGAACACAATTCTCTTTTTAGAGCTAATATCTATGTTTTTATATTGAATACACTGAATTGAATGTTAGCAAAAAGTGTCTGTGATTTGTGTCCTTTATTAAAGTCATGCAAATTTGAAACAATTTAGTTCAGTTTTACTGGATTTCTTCTCAAATTTTCGAAGACAAATTGAAAAAGTCCTTGAAATAGGTAAGTATATTTTCTCTTAGTTAAATTATTCACTGAAATTGTAGTGGATGACACTTGATGTTAATTCAGTTTTTCAAATATTAATTCATTAATTAAATCAAAAGATGAATAAATAGTAACAAACAAAAATAATAGTCTAACAGCATATATAGAAAGGAAAATCATTCGTTGTGTCCCTGTACTGCAATGGATAGCATGTTGGACTTTTAATTTAAAGGACGTGGGTTCGAATCCCACCTGGGATGGCTTAATTTCTGAGAATGCGATTTCTTTTTTACTATAATATTTTATTATAATTAAATTTAATTAATGAATAAATAGTAACAAACATATACAAAAAATAATCCAACACTATATATAGAAAAGAATATGGAAAATTGCTTTCTATTTTGTCACTTAATATTGGGATTCTGTCATATATATATATATTTATTTATTTATTGTAACTATTTGATAAAAAGTAACTAAAATAAAATTTTTCGTTGTTGACCTATGTAGGAATAAACTTTAAAAAAAAATTTTATATTACTTGTTTTAGGTTAACTTATGAAAGTTTTCTCTAACACTTGTAGTTTTGCTACACATGATTATAAGCTCAGTATAATTTCATATTGAATATAATTCTTTCGAACTATTATTTAATTAAAACACAAAGCATTTCAAAATATGTATGATGTGGAATACAATACAAAAGGGAAGAATAAAATTTTTAGTTAAAAAATATCACACCTCTGCAATATGTATTTCATAAAACTTATTTAAGCCATATTTTTGTCATTAACAACTAATGAAACTCTTTCATTTAATAACTTTCAGGGTTTTGCAATTCAAATTTGAATTGCTTATTGTTTATTTTGTGTTATTATTTTAGTTGATCCAAGAAAAATTTGGGGTGAGTGAGTGAGTTTATTAACATCACACTGTAAAGCAACACGAGGTCTATTAGTGATAGAGCTTGTAATTTTAAGCCGTGGATGAGGATAACACATGAGCTCTGGCACCCTACTTTCTAAACTTCCACATCATGCTATTGTGAGGAATTTGAGCTACGACAGATTCAACGTACATCAACTGCTCATCAAGACTGGAACCCGTGACTTGACAATGCCAGCCACGAGTTTCTGAACATGACCACTATGTTACTGTGGTCACAATTTTGATTTTGGATATCAATTAAAGAGTAAAAGCTAGGGAAAAAAGGAACAGAGTGGCGAATTAAAGTTTTTAAATGAAGAAAATAATAAAGAAGCCTTACCTTGCTCCAAAAAAAAAACTAAACATCACTGCAGTCGATACAATTAATACTCGTAATTCATTGTTTTGTTTGAAATATCCTTTGACCTAGATCTTCATGTCACTAAAATAGCATAAGTGCCAACTTCAATAAATGACAATAAAGCCTTTAGAGAAATTAATTTTAATGATCTGTGTCAGAGAAATAAGATTTCGATTTATTTTTATCTGAAAAGTATTAATAAAACTCCAAGTCACACACAAGAACTAATCAATAACCTCTTATGAGTCACATACATAACATGCAGAATACCCTTATTAGTGTTAATTTTATTGTTACCTTTATGTCGATATACTCAGTTACACTATGACATGCCACGGGTAAAAATGATTACATAGAACTATAAATATTTGCAAGAACTTAGAAGTTTATTAAAAAACCAGGATAATTTTGTAACAGAAGTTGAGTCACAGGTGAAAAACAAAAGATTTTGAGATAATTCAAAATGATAAAAAGCTTTGCTTCATATGTATATTCAAACAGACGATTTATTTCGATAAAAAAAATCATCTCCCTCAAATACAGCAAATTGGTAAGTACTGATGATTTTACAGCAATGAATTTTTCTTCAGACTATACACTCGTGGACAAAAAAATTAGGGCACCAAGAAATAATTGCGGGATCGTAATGAAACTTGGCATTGTGACGTACCCCTTCTCGAAACGAGTTTCACTCTTTCAGGACAATACTAGACTAAGTTTTGGTGCACGTGCAGCTGGGGTTTATTATCCTTATTGAGAGTCTGGACTTTGGTGCCAGTAAGACTGAAAATACAATTAGTCTCGCCATACTACTGTGGACGAGATCGCCTCCGATGCAGCTGACTGTCGCCTTACATATACAATGACGAATTGTCATCAAAGGCGGTAAAACGGCGACAGTGGGCCGAAAGAGCTTGGCCGTCGGACACCTGCAGGTTTGTGAAGAAACCAGGGGAGAGGACGATTGGCAGATTATGCGCCAATGGGCTCTAATGGTTTGAGGATCAACTCATATGGGCCCACCAATGAGAAAGCGTGAGGGGTGAAAAATGGACTGCCCCTGATGTTTTAAAAGGTCTGGAAAAACCAAAAAAAAAGGAGAAAGAGCTCGAAAAAGACGAGGGTTGGTCGTCTTTCGGAAAGCAGAGAAAGGAGGATCTCGGAGTTTTGGACCGGGATGCTGACCAGGAGTCCTGGACGAGAATAAGAAAAAACGCCTTGTGGACTGTACCGAGACAAGCTGCGGAGAAAGCGACGTTCAAAAGGGGGCTATCATACTGGCTAGGCACAGAGACAATTGAATGCTTAATCTAATTACCCTGTAGAAGAAAAAAATTAAAGTTTTTTTACTCCCATAACCTTGCTGTGATGTTTGTTTTATACGCTACCTTCTCACGACGTTACAGCATGAAGGGTATGACGGGGAGATATGCAAATGATTAGAAATGCAGCGTGATTGCGCATTACGTGTAGCCGGTAGAGGGCATTTAATGTCGTTCTTGTGGAGTATAAAACAGTAACCTAAGCTTGTTTGAGTGTGCTGAATCGTTTACAAAGGAAGAGCTGAGGTTGACAAGCCATTACGCCGTTTTCGAAGACAGTATGAGCAAACGTCGCAGTTTGGGAGGGGGAGAATCATCGGCATGAGGGAAGCTGGGTGGTCAGCTAGGCGAGTAGCTCGTCAATAAGGTCCCTCTGATTGTGTTGTGAGGAGGTGTTGGGATCAGTGGATCCGAGAAATGTCATTTACACGAAGACCAGGCTCAGGTTGCCCTCGACAGACCAGTCGTCGAGAAGACCGTCACATCTTAAGAAATGCACAGGTACAGCCAACTGATTCATCGGCCGCTATCCAGGCACATGTAGCACTTTCATTAGGGGCCCCTGTGTCTTCTCGAATCATACAAAGGCGCCTGGCTGAAGGACTTTTGGGATCGCGGCGCCCATTACGTGTGCTGCTCTTGATGCCCACCCATCGACGCCTCTGTTTGGAGTGGTGCCGTGCACGAGGAAACTGGACTACAGCGGAATGGAACCAGGTCGTCTTTAGCGACGAATCCAGATTCGATCTGAACAGTGATAACAACAGTGTTCGTGTGTGGAGACCCCGTGGTGAACGCCTCAATCCGGTTTTTGCTTTACAGCGATACACCGCTCCCAGAGCTGGTGTGATGGAATGGGGTGTCATTGCCTACAATGCACGGTCACCCCTAGTATTGATCCGTGACACCATAACAGCCCAGTGGTAGGATGTCATTGGTGTCCATGACATCCTGCAACCACATATGTTGCCACTCATGCAACTGCTCCCGGAAGCCATTTCTCAACAAGACAATGCTCGGCCTTACACAGCAAGGATGTCACAAAACTGTCTCCGCACTGTTACTATCCTTTCTTGGCCTACCCGATCCCCAGATTTGTCTCCAATCGAGCCTATCTGGGATCATATGGGACGGCGAATTGGGCATCCCACGAGTTGGAATGAACTAGAGGCCCGGTTACAGCAAATATGGATTGATTGAATATTAACGTCGCTCTGTTCAGTTACTACTAATTTTTAACCATGGTCAAGTGACGTGGACGACACCTGAGCTGGAATCTCCCCTCTCCTAACTACCACACCAACGGGAGGACGTTTCAGCTCTCGACAGATTTAACGTGCATCGTTGCCCTACACGGCGGGTCTTGAGTGGTACTGGGCTCGAACTCGTGACAAGGCAAGCCACGATCCGATACCTATACCACTCGGCTACCGCGGCCGTCAGCAAATATGGAACGAAATGTCTCAAGACATACAGAACTTGTATGCCTCAATGCCCGATCGTATCGCATCGTGCATTCGAGCTAGAGAGGGTTCAACAGGGTATTAAATCTTCCGTTCTTTTGCCTTTTTCTATGAAAAATAAATGATCCTTTTTTTTTCTTTGATTTTCTTATCATTTACTTATATCAAAGTAGTCATTACGTACGTAAAATTTCGTTTCATTTTGACGACTCCTTCTTGGCGCGCTAATTTTTGGTCCATTAGTGTATATGTACACTGCTGTTTGTAAAAAATGCAACACTATGAAGGAATCATCAGAATTAAATGAACTTTACAGCAAATGTCAATTATAAGATGTTACGTAAAATAGTAAAGTTTCAGAGCCACCACGCATGCGTGGCGTGCGCAGCGCCCTCTTAACTGATGCTGAAAGCATATAGAGGGCTGTAGTGGGACGAAGAAAATAGTTAATGATTATTTGTTAGTGGCGAACGTTTATTGAGACCTAAGTATGCCTCCACGACGAAATAAGGAGAAATTCCAACAACATACGGAGTTTATACGGGGAGGGATTATCGGCCTTCGAGAAGGAGGATTTTCCTATCGCGTAATAGGAGCTCGTGTGCAGTGGAACAGTTCCTCAGGGATGCGAGTTTGGAAGCAGTGGATCGACGAGCACCGAACAACTAAAAAAAACTGGCAGTAGACGACGAAAGGTGATGTCAGCGCGCGGCAATCGACACATACTCCGCATGGTAGTGAATGACCGTACATCTTCCTCCAGACAGTTGGTCTACTGCTACAGGTGTACTAATATCGGCTTCGTCGACGTCTGCTGCACCGTGCAAGGGTGCCTGTATACAGGATTCCCCTCACAGTAAACCATCGGCGTCTGCAATAAGCTCATGAGCATAAAGCCTGGCTAGCCGATTGGCACCAAGTCGTCTTTTCAGATGAATCACGCTTCAATTTGTGAGACCATGATGGCCGCATTCGTGTTAGACGCTATGCCGGTGAACGCTGCCTTCCAATCAAACGACATAGTGGCCTAACACCAGCAGTTATGGTTTGGGGTGCGATTTCGTATTATGGACGATCCAATTTGCTACGAATTGAGGGAAATCTCAAGAGCAATAGGTACATCCGTGAAATGCTACAGCCCGAAGTCGTTCCCTTCCTTTAAGGGATCCTTGGAGCTATCTTTC